TTATAAACTTGGAAATTCTATATAGGATCTCTATGAGTCAGATTTTGACTCCATGGCAGTAGGTTACACACACACACACATACACCCATTATTTGCATACTTTTGACATCATTTTAATTTCTCAGCAAAGAAATTCTATTCTAAGGTATACATGATTTTCTTTCTTTTTTAAGCAAACATCTTTTTTTTATCATTTAGAAAAATTACATATTTTTACCTAAATTTATGACTTGGACAAGATTGAGATTAGGAAAGTTATTGCCATGATGTCACCAATGGTTTATAATTTATAAGTGTTTGGATTAGACATTAGCACAGTTATGATTTCCTTTAATACCTTACCTCACCACAGTCTAATAACATTCAGGAAATCCAAAAGACAGAAAGGAAAGTGTGGTCTTGAAATCTAATAATAATCACTGAAAACTGATGCAACCATGAAGTAAAATATGTCACAATAACTTATTTGATATTTTCATGCTATCTGTTAAAGCAATTAGAATCCATTCAAACTAAAGTGTTTTTTTTCTCAAATTTTTACTAAATGAAAACTTGCTCAGATCAGTAAGACATATTAGCCATGCAGTTTAATTGTGTACATTGGTCTTTGGATTTTCTGTCTTATTACTTACATATGTGGTTTATTTAACACTCTTCTAAAACAGAAAGTTATTGGATTTTGGAAAGTCTTCCAAGTAGACCCAAACAATGATCTAAGTGACATATTACAACATAGAAAATGAAAATACATATTCTTAAACAGTGTATTTTGAGACTGGATCAATATATTTAATCATATCCAATAGGTTTTGCTCACTATGTAACATAAACAGCAATATTAGTATCTCTTCCAATCAATCACATTACATTTTTTGACACCTGTAGAGAAGCTAGATTTTAAATCACAGTTTATTTTAGAGATTCTCAATAAAATATTTTAATAAAATGGCAGTTGTGTTCATGTTGAAATATAGTTACAGATTAAGAAAAGCAAAATATTTCTTGAATTTAAATGTCTTTTTCAAAGCTTTTTATTAGAACTTTAGTATTTCTAAAGAACAATTCTCAATGCATTGTGAGAGATTAAAACATTTACATTAATTTACACTTATTAAAATATAGGAAGGCATTCCTACTGTGGGATGAGAAATTTGGATAAGTATGTTGTTGCTGTTGTTGAGTGGGCGTGGGTCCGACCCATAGCAACCCTGTATAGGTTTTCTGAGGAGCCTGAACTGCCGATCTTGTGGTTCAAACTGACTTTGCAGTCCAGAGCATTAAGCCACAGCACCATACCAGGGACTCCTGGGTACGTATGATACTGTTAAGTGCCATGGAGTTTGTTCTGACTCATAGCGACCCTGTACAGGGTTTCCAAGGCTGTATAGAGGAGAATTATTTTATTATGGCAATAAAACACAATCAAACAATGGCATTAATGCATATTTTTGGGGAACCCGCTAAATATGTTTTACTTACATAATTATAATAAATTTCCCCCCCAACCCTATGAGATTTCTATGTTTTTCTTTCATAGATGAGTTTCAGGAATGTTCAGGTATTTGTCTGAAGCTTAGAACTAATAAAAGTCATATCAAGGGGTAACACTCAGTTCTGTCCTAATTAACACCGTTGGATCTCATTACAGAATACAATGGCTATAAATTTTGCACTACAAACATTTTATGAAATAAATGTTACTTTACTTCCCTATGCAGAAATCAAATTATATGTATTCCAGGTCCTCATATCACTAAGTTAGAAAGGAAATTCAATTGTTTTACCTCTTTCTGAAGTCAAATCAGAATACAGAAGAATTACATGGTAGATACCTATGAAGCTGAGTTAAGAGTTACATTTAAAGAAAAGATATTATGTTTCAGTCAAAGAGGCAATGAGCTTCATATATTTACAGGGTTCAACAAAGCAGAGGAAAAGAAAAGAGACCATCTTTGAACAAATTACTTCACCATGACGAAAGATAGTTTTCATCTCCTCTTGAACCATAACTGACATGCTTAACCTCTCTTCCTATGAAGTCTAACCCTTTCACAGTGTATATCTAACGTTACATGAATTTGGAAGCACTTCTCATATACCTTGGCACTGTCTGATTGATTTGGACATAAAATCCCAGGCAAAAAATTTCTCCTACTTTAAGAGATAGCTCCTCTATTTTTGTCAGTAATATGAAACATCTAATGAGTATAAGAAGGAGCTCTGGTAGCGTAGTGGTTACGAATCGGGCTGTGAACCTTAAGGTCAGCAGTTCGAAACTCCCAGCCACTCTGTGGAAGAAAGATAAGGCTTTCTGCTTCAGTAAAGACTTACAGCCTCAGAAACCCTGTACAGGGTCGCTATGAGTCGGAAACAACTAATGAGTATAAGAAGGAGCTCTGGTAGCGTAGTGGTTACGAATCGGGCTGTGAACCTTAAGGTCAGCAGTTCGAAACTACCAGCCACTCTGTGGAAGAAAGACGAGGCTTTCTACCTCCTGTAAAGATTTACACCCTCGTAAACTCTGTACAGGGTCGCTATGGGTCGGAACCGACTCGACGGCACTTAACAACAATAACAATGAGTATAAGAAATGTGTAATATTTATAACAATAGTTTCAACCATACTGCTACTCCTGTTACTTTCTCTAAACCATGAGAAATGATCACATAGATAAATTTTAGTAATATTTTCCTTGATTTGTGATAGTAACAAATCTTCTACTGAGTATGTCTTTTGTGGTTCTGTAGTTATCTAAAGGTCATCAGTTCAAACCCACCAACTGTTCCTGGGGAACCCTACACAGGGTCATTATGAATCAAAATTGACATGATGACACTTACCAACAGCAATGTTTAAATCAAAATGTATCTAAATATTTCTTTAAATGTCCTTGCATGCTTAGCATATGTCATTAAGTTACACATTACTGTTTTACCATCAAAGGACCTATGATAAATGTTTATTTGTAAACAAATCTGACATTTGCTTACATATGTTGTTGTTGTTAAGTGCTATTAAATTGGTTCTGACTCATAGCCTCCCTGTATAGGGCTTCCAAGGAGAGGTTGGTGGGTTTGAACCATCAACCTTTTGTTAGTAGTCTAGTGCTTATCCTACAGCACCACTTCAGATCACCATATAAGTGTCCTTACGTAATTTATTTTGTCACATTATACTAGGAAAATTTGCAACAATGATGACAACTTATGTTAAATACTTATATTACTTTATTATAGTGGTAATAAGATAATAAAATATATTGCATTTATATTGCATTCTGTTGTTTTCAACATATTTTATTTAAATTATTTCATACTTACAATAAATCTGTGAGCTAAATATCCTAATCTGCATTAACTTGCAGGGACTAGAGACTCAATTATAAAAAATAGTCACCAAAGAACCAAAGCTAGTAATTGACTCATATATGCCTAGAACCTAGCTCATTGTCCTTTCCATTACAACTTATCATTATTCTGAGAAAGCCTATAAATTAATGCACAGTGCAAATTTTAGAACTAAGCCGAAGCACTATCATTGCTAGGGGATAGCTAATTGCCAAATACAGAATCAATGCAAGGAAAGGAAAGAATCCATAACTCTTACTCACAGTAATAAAAGTGGAAAACATTTTTGGTTTGCTTCCTTTTCACTTTTCCTCCCTAACTCAGATGAGGTATAAGAGTCATAATTTGAACCGGTGCCATAAGCTCCATCAGAAATATTAAATGTTAAATACAGTGATCCTTATTGACTATAAAATGAACACCACTTACTATTCTAAGGAGATAGAAAATACTTTTATGTGAACAGTAGAGAAATTGCCAAAAAAAAAAAAGGTATTTTATTTCAGTCTGTGGAGAAATTAATGTGCTACTGGAAAAAATCATGCATATTCAGGTCTAATTAATTCCCGGGGCACCTGATTCAGAGCAAGTGCTTCAAAATATCCTGTCTGCTCCAGCGTCACATTATGGTTGCAGAAGTTAGACACATTCTGACTGCAGGCTCTCAGGAATGAGACCTTTGGATATAGTGCTTTCCTGTACCTTTCTACCATTGGACATGTGCATATTTTCATTTGTAGTCAAATTTCTATTCTTATTTCCAAGTGCTTATCTTCAACTAGGCGTCCTGGTGTAGAGCTGTAAGTTATTATGTGGGTCTGCAAAGTCAGTATGAACCAGAAGGTCAGCAGTTCATGCTCCCCAGCTACTCTTCGGAAACATTATACGGGGTGGCTATGGGTCAGAACTGACTCCACTGTACTTAACACCAACAGCAACATCTTCAACTAAAGCCAGCTTACCTGTGATAAAATGTGGCACCTCTATTATTATTCTAGACAACCTCCCTCAATATATATAGTTGGATATTCCCCACATAGAGAGGTGGCTATGGACAGTTTCAGGTGCCTTACCACCTGCAGATGCGGGTAACTCACAAGTGCTTGAGAAGCATCTTAGGACTAAGGGGTCTTGAAAGGAGAGATGGAGGGAAGTGACTTCAATGACTATTTAGCGTTTCCTTTGAGAAAAGGCATAAAGATAGTAAAGTGTAATTTTTATAAATATCCAGATAGTGTTCTGCTATTTTTGTTCTTTATACGTAGGGAGAAAAGGAATCATTTGATGTGAATTTAAAAGACTTTCAAGAACCAGTAGGATAGTTCCTGGCATGCTTATACGATCAAGTGACCACACTCTACTCTGATGGACTTCCTCTTGTTTAGGGTTCATTTATGCGTTATTACTTGCAACATCCTAAATGCTACTAAACTAAACAAAATAACACAAAACAAAACAAAACCCACTAAGCTAAGCAGATATTTAGCTAGTAATAGCTATGTTTTAATCTAGTAAATGAATCATTATCATAAAAGTTACATAAATGAAGATATCTCTAGCTGTACTCAAATATTGACTGTCTTTGTTTAAGTAACCTGTTGAAAATATTTCCATCTATAAATAAATTCAAATATTCCTTTTCTTATCAACAGGATAATATTTTTAAACTGGAAGATTCACATTTTGAAAATGGCCGTGGGAAGAGTCCATACGACCCTAAGCTACTGACAGCATCTCTTTTAATAGGTATGTCAATATAAACATCAATTAAACAGTAAAGCTTCTACAGATAATAATTAGCCTGCAGGTTCTTTTTTATCTACCAAGATTTTCCAGTATTCACTTCAAACTATTTTAAGAAGGTATCTTAGGCTGAGTTTTCTAGAGAAACAGAACCAATGAAGCTTATATATGTATATTTACAAAGAAAAGTTTATTCTGAAGGAAATGGCTTACAACTATAGAGTCCTATGTCCTCTGAATAAGAGAGAGAGAGAGAAAGCGACCGCCCCCTCACCCCACATACACACTCGTTTGTCTTTTGTACTTAGGACCAGGCCACACTCCCAAGGAAACATCCTTTCAATTGACTGGCTGCTCATAGCCAATCATCATAGAGTTAATTATGCCTGTATTAGTACTCATCACCATGGGAATAAATGCATCTCAACTGCTAAGCCAGTGGAAATCCTGGCCTTGTCAAGTTGACAAAGAGCCCTAACTAATACTGGAGCACATCAGCAGTGATATATTTTGAAAAATAAGAGGAAACACTAAGTGTAATTTGGACTATTACACTATATAATAGTCAGTGATTCTTTATATTCAAATGGATTAATAGTATCTTTAAAGTGACTAGCACAATCACATATCCTCACTTGAACTTTTGGAATATTTATTTTGAGATAAAATACTTTTGTTGTTTGTTTCATGAAAGAAGCATTTTAGAAAGAAATTTTGACAAGTCAGAAAGAAAGTGTTGGTCAGTTCTATTTTATTGTTCCAAGATTTGTCACACTCTCAACATTTGGACAACTTAATCAGCACAAAGTCTAATTTGTACAATAGACAGAGACCCACAGCATAACTTGAGTTGACTTGATGCATGCTGGTATCATGTTAGATATGTCTGCTGCATACAGAAGGCTCTCTATATTCTCCTTGTGTGATTTTGGGTCCTAATCTCTTCCTGCTCCTTCTTTTTCTTTATCGAAAGAGAGCTTGTTATGTGATTTCTCTACCCTTGTTTTCTAGTTTTTCTTCTTTCCTGTCTTCCTTTGCATTGAAGGTAGGTGGTGAATACTTAGTAGTAACTGAGGGTTGTGAAGGTAAATATGTGAGACCATGTTAGTTTGCATTGAAAGATAAAGAACAATGTCTATATTCTTCCACTCACCTCTGGACTAGGAATAAATAAAAACAATAACAAGTAGTGATAGATCATTAAGCTTTTATTTTTTTCCTTTGAGCATTTTAACAAAATAAAACACCAAAGATTCTGGGTTGTGATTCTGTTACTAAACAAACTTTTCTACATGTTCTACATAAATTATTCAGCTTTTGCTACCTTTTGTATACATTTTTAAAGCAATGATTTCATAACATAATGATTACACTTCTCACATGTGAGTTGTCTAATTAAATGTTGAGTAATAAAACTCAGTTTTTAAAAATGTAAATTTAGGTTTCCATATAAATTCATAATATTTTCCCAGCCTTTTTCCTTTCACAAATAACTTTTTCCACTAAAAAAAATAGAACTTTAGTCATATTAACTAGAACATTAACAGTGAAGATATATTCTTCTCATATTCTCTGAAGCTTTTATCAGTTTCACTGATGACTTCTATAAAAAGCAAAAGTACTGCAGCATGAATTATTTCAATTGCTTTTCAAATGTAGACAATTTCAGTCTATTTGTTCCATTTATGCAGCAATTTAACAAAAGTTTAAGATCTAAAGGAATGCAGCAAATTTAGCACTCTTGTAATTTTCTTATTCATAGGCAGCTGCATGACTGCATGTATACGATTTTCTCAATGGTCCACACGGTTATTTAAAAGTTATCTTAAACATAGGGGTAGGATCATACCTTGTTTGAACGTGCAGCTATATTTATTTAATTGCACACTAAAAAAGGATAGGTATTCCTGAAAAAGCAGTACGTAAGATTGTGCCTAGAGCAGTTTCATTTGAGGTATGTTTCTCAGTAGGAATTTGTTTGATTATTTATTTTAATATTCAGTTGAGAAAGAATGATGACAAGTAGATATTACATAACTCATATGGTATGCAACCACACAAAGCCCACAGAGAATATGAAGTTGTACTTACAAAAAAAAAAAAAAAAAAAAAAATTACAATAGAATTTCTTTGAAAAAGCTGTGTAGGTTTGTGAAAATGAAAACTGAATAAGAGAAAGTCTTAAGGAGTTAAGGAGAAGATGCCTGGATAAAAGTGAACGGTAGGCATTTCAGAGAAGCAGCCTGTAAATGGAATTTACAATCCAGCATGGTAAAATAATTTAGTAAACTACAGAAGTATAAAGAGAATGTTTATTGGCAGGAAATATCATTCTAGCCAAAATAAAATGATTTCTGAACCAACTGAATAGCATAACACAGAAAAGGGAACAGACCATACTAGATTTAGTAAAATCCTTTAAAATATCTGTTGTTGTTGTTAACTGCCATCGAGTCAATTCCAACCCATAGCTACCCTGTATAGGGTTTCCAAGGAGCAGCTGGTGAGCTTGAGCTGCGGACCTTGTAGTTCAAGTGGCTTTGCAGTCTGGCGCATTAATCCACAGCGCCACACCAGGACTCCTGTAGTACTATTTTAATTCAAGAGCTGTAACGCCCCTTATTGAGGCTATTTGCTTCCTTTATAACTATGCTGTAAATTCTTCCTCTCACAGTACATTTAATTACCCTTGTTAGTTTTTTCTAGGCATTTTCCCGTGTTTCTGGTTTAAAAAGAATGGGTAATAATTTATTGAGGCTCTTTAACACTTATACATTCCATTATTGTTGTAGGTGCCATGGAGTTAGTTTCAACTCACAGTGACCCCATATAGGGTTTCCTTTGAGCCACAGGTGAATTTGAATCGCTGACTTTGTGATTCAAACCAACCTTGTGGTTCAGTGCGGATCCTACAGTGTCACAAACTTTTTGCATATGTGTTTAGCAAATGTTCTGAAATACACAGGTTGTACCTTTTATATTAGACGATAGGTATTGGGAAAACTTATCTTCTAAATAATACTTTCTTCTCATTTTATCACATAAAATAAAACACTTCAACGTGATGCCAGGATGCTTCCTCCTTTAAAACTGGTGTGTGGGTGTGTGATGGGGTGATTTGGCCCAAACCATCTGTAAACTGTCACATAAGAGCTTGACAACAGATTCTTTTTAAACCACTACTCCCATTATTAAGGAGCTCTGGTAGCGTAGTGTTTACAAATCGGGCTGTGAACCTCAAGGTCAGCAGTTCAAAACTACCATTGTTCCATGGGAAAAAGATGAGGCTTTCTGCTTGTGTAAAGATTTACACCCTTGGAAACCCTGTACAGGGTCGCTATGAATTGAAACCGACTCTACCACTCCCACTATTAAGCAGTTTCAACCAGTAGTAAACTTTTAAAATCAAATGAAAACTTGAACAATAGTTTACTTTTGAAAACTCTTAAGCTTAGTATATTCTTTTTCCAAAATGCCTTGAGTTGTTCAAACTAATAGCTTTAGGAAATTTTGGATCCCAACACCTGAAAAATACATGTTATTGTTAAGTATCCTTGAGCAGTTTCAGACTCTTGGCAACAACCCTTTATAGGGTTTCCGAGGAGTGGTTGGTGATTTTGAAACACCAATCTTGTGGTTCAAACTGACATTGTGTTCCAGTGCTTATACCACAGGATTTACACACCAGGACTCCAGAAGGACAGATAGCCATTAAAATAAGTTTCAAAATCTTCTCACACGTCCAACAGTTTTCAAATTGCCACAATAAAGTTAAAATGTGTATCTCCTTTTATAGAGATAATTTCATTAAAATGAAGCTGTAGCATTATTTATTTTTAAATGTTTTTACTTTATCCACCTGGAAATATTTTTATGACTTTGCTTAAAATGTCTTTATTAAAGGTAGCAGTCACGCCCCTGCTCAGAATAAATGTCAGGTGTGAATACAATACAAGAATAAAACGCAGTATCTTTCCCACTAATTAAGTATTACCACACATTTTCCTGATGTGAAAGGAATAGTCAACAATAGTCAACTTGAGAAGAGTTCAGTTTCCTCACTGAAATCTTTTTTTAGACCTTTCAGGACTAATTATTTAGAAATATTCCAACACTAAGAGATATTATTGAGAATTCTGGGGCAAGATGGTAGAGCAGTCAAACATAGTGAACAGACCCCTTTAACAAGGACATGGAATATCAAGTGAACAGTTGGTGATCCGGGAACCCTGAGGTTCACAGGATAGGTCAGAATGGTAGATTGAGAGACAACTGAAAGAAGAAACTGAAACAACAGCAGTGAGAGAGAAGAAAAACAACTGGGCAGTCCACTAACCTGGAGCCATCATGAGCTTTTGTGGTCCACTGTCACTTCTGTGGCCAAGAGGCACACAGGACACAGCTGGAGGTTGGCATCAATGGGTTATGGTTCTCTCTTGTTTCCTGTGCCCTCACCAGCCCAGCAGCCTTTGGTACCCCTCCTACACAGACCTCTTTCTGGGGTTAGCCATCAGGCATGCCATGCCCACATCTGGGGGTGTGTGAACCCACCCTGAAGTACACTACACAAACACTGAACAGAGAACTATGTTCACACTTCCAGTCTCCAACACATCTACCAGGATGGAGATAGTAAGTGCCTGAAAACATGGCAACATACGATCAATTAAATATGCATAGGACAGACACCAGGCAACAGGCAATTACAACTTACACAAAGATACAAGGCAGAGGTCCTGAAACAAGTGATCAAAATACAAAATCAGAAAATATAATACCAGAAACATTTTCAGAATTACTTGATAAGGAATTTAGAATAATGATGTATAAGTACCTTCAATGGATTAAGAGATTGGGAAAACTTTGTATGAAATCAAGGAAAATGCAAACAAAACTTTAGAAGAATACAGGGAAATACTACAAGAACTAACTGACAAAATAAAATGAATAATTAGAAACCATACAGAAATGGAGTTCTAGTGCTGTAGGATAAGCACTGGTCC